TTACATCTAAAGTCCGGGTTATGCACTCGCTGCTCTGGTTGGAGAAGATGGTGTTCATATAGCTGAGATAGTGTCAGCGCAGAAATTTTTGAGGGAGCCGCAGATATTGTTTCATCAAGGGCAGGATTCAGTGTATGAGGTGACTCTACGGCGATCCAAAGGCCACCATATCCAAGATCAAAATTCGATCCGGAACTCTTTATGGCGTGAAGCATGTAATCGAAAGAGCACATATCAATAAAAAATCATAGTTAAAATCTTAGCTAGTAATACAGTTGAAACTTTGATCAATCAATCACTTCAGTAAAATATTATTGTAACTTTTGTCATGTGCAGCATACGGACTTAAATCATTTTCAAGGAGATGGCGAAAAAAATGGTAGTCACTGAAATTGAAGTGCCTGAACAACTGAGGATCATCACAAAGGGAGGAGCGTTTCCATTTGAACATTTGAATATGAGAAAATATTCAAATGTCAAGTGGGAGAACTAAAAATGTTTGTCATCATGGTTAATTTTACAGATCTTGACTGTTTCGACCTGCGAATAAATGAGCGTCGGGGAGAAAACTGGATGTATGAAGATTTTACGAAAGTTTATCTACGAGCTTCAGATATGCTCTTGTCCATGAGACGAGCTATGCTCAATAATGGAAGACTCCTTGAAGGTTTTTCGATTTCCGTTATGGAGTTTGAAGGTCTGCCTCAATCTCCACTCCCGAGTTGCATGGTAGATGGTTCAACATGGGAACCGTTAGTGAACGCTCTGCGAAGAGGCTTCTCCTGATCATTTCGAACTTTTGACACTTTGAGGAAAGTTTTATATCAGAATGTCACATAAGTTAAAATTTTCGTAGTATAAGATGTTGACGGTTTTTTATTCATGCTAGGTCCTAGCCTTGCAAATTGTTTGGTTAGGTAAAAGTTTGTCTCGGTTTGGGAAGGTATAGTTGAGTTTTCATACCTTAGTAAGTCTTCGACTAAATTTTTCTTGGATAACATATTAATATACACTAGTTTCATGTATTGAAAATTTTTGGAGTAACCCTTCTTATTGCAAACTTTTTGAAGTAAGATTTGTTACTAGTTTTTCAGGTTGTCAATTGCCTTGCGAATGATTGTGTACCTTCTTGTTGATTCAGAAAATTTTTGAACTTATTGTTACTGTTGTAAATTCATGATATGTGGACCAGGTAACCCGGTCCTTGTCAATTATCTTGAGAATGATTGTGTACTCGTACAGTATCAGTTAGTGGCTTTTAATACGTTTATTGAATTTAGACTCAAAGCTTGAGAAAGTTTAAGTTTCTTTTCTTGTCATTATGAGTTCAACTCGTCAATTGTCTTGAGGATACTTCATTAATAATGTACTTCAGTGAATCCTAATGTGTTCATTGAACTGAAATCCTATATAATTGCATCAAACCTCCAAATAAATTCATTTCATTATAATAATTATAATATTTGCACGCAATGAAATTTTTTTATTCAAGACTCTTAACTTTGAAATTCCTTTTAAGCTAGGCTACCTGAGTGGGCCAAGGTCACTTGGCCCGCCGGGCCAAAAATAATAATAATAATAAAAATAGTAAAAATATTTTTAAAGTTTATTTTTGATTTGAAATTTGGTAAACAATTTTTGATGTGACCCTCAAGCAAAAGTTGTTCAGTTTATTTTTCTGCATAACATAGTTTTTTTTTGGTTTTTTTTTTTTTTTCTTTTTCTCTTTTTTTTTTCTCTTTTGCTGGGACCGTCCTTTGTCCTTGCACGGGCTCGCCACCCGGGACCCCGGCGGCCCGGCCGGTAACCTAGCTTTTAAGATCAATGTAACAGTTTTCATAACCAATTTTGTAAGTACGAAACAGTCACTATAATCATATTTCAAATGTATCCTTTGTATAATAACATCGGATTTTATAAACATACTAAGACTTAAGTTTTACTAATATAATCGGGTGTAGGATGTAATATGCTCTATATAATAATTACATCCGATTCGGATTTCATGAAGTTCAACATAGTACTAAGTACTATGATCATCATGATGTTTAAGATGTATCCTCTGTATAATTACATTGGATTTCATGAAAAGTTATTAGTATACGCAGTTACTGCAGTACTTACTAGTCTAATATTATCATGTTTAGGATGTATCCTCTGTATAATTACATCGGATGTCATGAACATAATACTAAGTATCAGTCTAGGTGTGTACTAACTTAATAAACTTCAAGTTGCTAGTTTTAGACTAGGTGTTAACTTAAAGTGTGACACTGTTCAATCACTAGATTAATAATGACATCTGACCTAGTAGACTAGGACTTAGTATGTTTGAGAAATCCGATGTAATTTAATTTAATAATGTACAAAGGATACATCCTCAACATAATCCGATACGACCGAGGTGTAAAGTGTGTTCAATCACATGAATTACACAACTTGACCTCGGGTGACTTGTATGAAATTTAATGCAACGATATCTTTCTACTTGTCATGAGAGGGTTTATGCTCATCAAAGTTATATTTTATGTAGTCGTTGAAAGCTATTTGAGGTTAAATATTGTCTAAAAATGTACTATTTGAAAAATAATGTACTATTTTAACGAATAACATGTTACGAGGAAAAAAAAAAAGGCAGCCCAAAAACCCGATTGTGGTGTGTTTCCTTGAACTTCAAGTTATGCGGTGAGCTGCAACAAGCAAAGAGGATTGGATTCAACGCCCGAATCTGGACAAGTAAGAACAGTCAGTCAAAAGAGGATTGGATTCAACGCCCAAATCTGGACAAGGACAGTCAGTCATGAAGGAGTTGTGTTTTTTTTTTTTTGGGACACCCATTTCGTGAAGAGTTGAAAAAAACTGTCAATTTTTTTTTTTTTTTTTTAACTAAATGCCTGTTCAGAGATCACAAATTCAAATAGTCCTCTACCGTCTTCCCGTGTACATAACGCACCGGACCGGAAAAGTAGCTTATACACGATCAAAATCAGGCTGCATTGTATTTAGGGGCACAAGTCGTTGGCGTGAGTATCACCCTCATCATGATTGTATCGGACCGGAAAGATACATTCAAAATTTAGAGGCAGAATACGGTGGTGTGAATATGCACTCAGTATATATTTATAAAAAAAAAAGAGCACCCTACAAAAAAAAAAAGAAAAAAAGGAGTCATATCGGACCGGAAAGGTAGCTTAGATACGTTCCAGGTGCACTGCATTCAAGGGCAGAATACGGTGGTACGAGTATGCACTCAGTATATATTCGAAAAAAAACTGCCCCACCAAGAAAAAAAAAAAAAAAAAGAGTCGTATCGGACCGGAAAGGTAGCTTAGATACGTTCAAAATCAGGCTGCACTGCATTCAGGGGCAGAATACGGTGATGTGAGTATGCACTCAGTATATATTT